GTCTGACCAATCGCTGCTCCTATGGCTCTGCCCCCCTCCAACGATTTTTGTGTCATTGGCTCCAAAAATCCAAGATGTCAACCAGGAAGTAGCAAAGCCCGGCTTCATTTTCTCAGTGCAGAAACCAACGGGTGACGTCACGGTAGCTACGTCCATCTTTTATACAGTCTATGGTTTTTTTGCAGGGGAGGTTTAGCTTCTTCTAGCTCCCACTAACCAAGGCCAAATGCGTAATATTATGTCCTGAGTCAGTGCAAAAATGATGCATCGACATTGTATTCGCAGTGACAGAAACGTGCATACACATTCTGTATTAGAGTTATAAAGCTTTGTGTTCTCATGGTGCTCAGCGATGAGGAAGGATATCAGTGTAAGACCTGAATGAAAAATGATGTTACTGTATTAAGCTATAATGAATCACCTATGGCATCTGCAGAAGCACACACTTATGGAGTAGTGAGAGAGCCAAATTACACAAATAGATCAATATTGTGGTGTGTTTTTGGTTGAGGAGAACATGAATGTCTCTAGTCAAACAGCCATGTAACATGAGGAAATAAAAGAGGCCCAGACTGACCAGGTCTTCTCCTTAAAGGGCCAATTAGCCCCAGATAACAATCAGCTGGTGGATGGCCTTTTCCAGCTCTACCCATGGGTGTCCGAAAGAGCTAAACTTAGAAACATTAATACATCTTTTTTTTTTTTTTTTTACAATGTACTCAACAGCTGAGTTTGGCAAGCCAATTATATTTGATATCACTTTTTTTAAAACTTTTTTTAGCCTCATTATCATCTTCTACACTTACCATCTTCTTCACCTCTTTAGTTCTTACTTCTTTGAATGAAGTGAGTTTATAAATCCAAAAATAATCATAGAAATACTTTCTGAAAGGATCTTGGCTTAGTCACTTACTTTTAGTGCCTGAAGCGTTTATGCAGTACGATGTGTTTTAAACCAACCGAGGGTGGATTTAATCACAGACATGCGCTTGTTAGTTGTGACCATTTTCTAATATGTTCTTCTGTGCTTTGTTTCCAGTCATCCAGTTTGGTTTTGTGACGTTGTTTGTGGCATCCTTCCCCCTGGCTCCACTGTTCGCCCTGCTCAACAACATCATTGAAATACGACTTGATGCCAAGAAATTTGTGACGGAGTTACGACGACCAGTGGCAGCAAGAGCCAAAGACATTGGTGTGTTACAGTTCTCTAACTAGGTCTTATACAAATGACCCAGTGAGATGAAATGTTGCTGCAACTAACACTTTTGTAAACACATTCCTTGCAACAACAGCTGCAATAGGAAACAACATATCCCTAATTGTAGAAAATCTAGCAGCTAATAAATGTTTTTTTTTGTCCACAGGTATATGGTACAACATACTAAAAGGGGTAGCAAAAGTGGCTGTCATCATCAATGTAAGTCATACATTATTACGCATTAGTTGCACTATCTGCAGGTATTCTATTTTATTTTTACATTCACAGTTGCAAACAAAAGTTTACAT